TTTTGGCACTTTATATCATGCCACTCTCTTCTGCCCTGAAAAGTTTCTGCTGAAAAATCAACTGATAACCTTATGGAGTTTGCCTTTTATATAACTAGTTGCTTCTTTCTTGTTGCTTTTAAAATTCTCTATCTTTAAACTCTTTGGGTTCATCTCATTTGGAACTCTCTGTGATTGGAGCATTCAGACCATTTATGTTTAAAGTAATTATTGATAGGTATGTACTTATTGCCATTTTCTATGCTTTTCTTTTTCTCTTTCCCACTGGAATCCCTATAATAGGAATATTTGTTCACTTGATGTTGTCTAAGAGATCCTTTGACCTATCCTCATTTTTGTTTTTATTTTATTTTTTGCTGTTTTGCTTGGGTGCTGTCCATTACTCTGTCTTCCACGTTGCTGATTCATTCTTCTGTGTCCTCCAATCTATTGTTGATTCCCATTAGAAGGAATCAACTAACAACTAAATAATATTTTTTTGTATTGGTTACTGTATTTTTCAACTCTGATTGTTTTGTTTTGTCTTGTTTTGTATTTTCTGTTTCTTTGCTGAAGTTCTCACTGAGTTCATCCAATCTTCTCTCCATTCCAGTGAGCATGTTTGTGGTCTTACTTTGATCCTTTTTATCAGAGAGATTAGTTACCTCCCATTTCACTTCATTCTTTTTCTAAAGTTTTGTCTTTTTATTTTATTTGGAGCATATTCCTCTGTCTTAATTTTTCTTGCCTTTCTGTGTTTGTTTCTATGAGTTAGGAAGAAGAGCTAATTTTCATAAACTTGAAGGAATATCCCTGTATGTTATCATTCTCTGTATTAGACTGTGCCTGGTAAATTTTGCTAGCTGGCTGAAAATGTGGCTGAATGGGCTCGGGGATCTGGGACATTCAGTGCTGAGGCTGTCTTGGTGGGATGCTGGAGCTAAAGTGGCCATGGATTGGGTTGTCCTGGGATTCTGTGCACAGAAGGCATCTTGGTTGGACCCAACTTTCCCTTGGGTTGAAGGTTGAGCTGTCCTGGGACTCCTTGCACAGAGGATACTCTAGCAGGACAACTGAAGCTGAAGTGGCTTCAAGTCTGAGGGAGGCTCAGAGCTCTCTGCATAAGAGGCAGTGTGATATGATGGATCAACCTGAAATGGTGCAAGTTGGAGCATTCTTGGGCACTCCACAGGTGGGGTACTTTGGCAATGTTAATGGAACCAATATAGGTGTGGCCCTGGAGTGTTCTAGCATGCTTTGTGCCTGAATCACCTTGCCTGCCTTTTATAGAGAGCTTTAAATATTCCATTCTATCTCTATTATGGTCATATAAGCTGTACACCATTTTGGATTTACTTTTCACTCTAAGAGTATATACTTTGCACTTTTAATTGTCATAGTCTACCTTCAAATAATATATTACTACATAGTACACTTTAATTTCTTCCTTCTCACCATTTATCCTACTGTTCTTACATTTTACTTCTTCATGTATTGTGTACCTCATAGTGCATTATTATTATTTTCACTTTAAAGAAATTAAAATAATGTGGTAAATGAAAGGCTTTTTTTTATTCACCCACATAATTACTATTTCTTATGCTCTTCATTCCTTTGGTTGGATCCAAGTTTTAATCTACTGTCATTTTCTTTTTGCTAGAAGAATTTCCTTTAAATATTTCTTGCAGTCTGTTGGCATCAAACTCAGGTTTTATTTGTGTTAAAATATGTTTATTTTACCTTCATTCTTGCAGAACATATTTGCTGGATAGAAAATTCTAAGTTGGTAGGCATTTTTTTTTAGCATTGTTCTTTCTTCTTAAGGTTTTCATTAAATTCCAGTTAGTTAACATACTGTGCAATGTTAGTTTCAGGTGTATGGTATAGTGATTCAGTTCTATACACCTGGTGCTCATCATAAGTACACTCCTTAATCCTCATTTAACCCATCTCCCCCACCTCTCTTCTGGTAACCTTTAGTTTTCTATAGGTAGATTCCTCTCTTTTTTGGTTTGCCCCTCTCTTTTTCCTTCCCTTTTATTCTGTGTTATCTGCCTTATGTAGTCTCTGGAGAGAAAGCTGAAGTCAAGTTTATCTTTATTTCTCTACACATGTTTTGTTTTATTTGTTTTTTTTTTTTTTACTCTGGCTGTTTTTATTTTTTTAAGATTTTATTTATTTGTTAGAGAGCATACAAGCAAGGGAGAGAAGCAGAGCAGAGAGGAAGAAGAAGGGGGAAAGAACCTCAAGCAGACTCCACACTGAGTGTGAAGCTCTATGCAGGGCTCAATCTCATGACCCAGACATCATGACCTGAGTTACTTGGGCTATATTAATTTTTTTTCTCTTTATCACTGATTTTCAGAATACAACTTTCCACAGTTGGAATTATGTTGTTTTCCTTGTGTTTGTAACACTCCATTATAAGTTTCATCAAATTCAGAAAATATTTGGCCATTATTTTTTTTCATTATTTCTTCAAATATTTTTTGTTTCTCTCTCTCTCTCTCAACACACACACACACACACACACACATACACATTTTCCTGAAACTCCAATTCAGAGTACATTAGATATTTGATATTGTTCCACAGATCATTAACACTCTACATTTTTTCCTGATTTTTTCTCTTTTTGCTTCATTTTATATTGTTGTTATTCTTTTGTCTTCAAATTTAGTGATCTTTTCTTCTTACATGTCTAATGTGTTAATTCCATTCAATGAAAATTTTATTTCGGAAATTATATTTTCATCTTCAAGAAGTCCATTTGGTTCTTTTGAATGTATTTTACTTTTTTCCTCATTATTTTTTCCCTTTAAATCCTTGAGCCTATTGGGTGCATTTATAAGAGCTGTTTCAATGTCCTTATTTGCTAATTTCATTATGTCTGCCACATTTGCTTCTGTATTGATTAACTGACTTTTCTCTTGATTATGGATCTCATCTTCCTACTTCTGGCCCCATTTAGTAAATTCTGATTGTATTCTGGATATTGTTAATTTTACATTGTTGAGAACTAGATTTTAAAATTGTTAGATTTATCTTGCCAAACTAAGTTATTTGACATTTACCTGTATTTTTTCAAGGATTATTTATATGTTCTTCAGAATAGCTCTAGAATAGACTTTATTCTAGGTGTAACTTATCCCCACTACTAAGGTGTGACCTTCTTGCGTTTTCTATTGAGTTTCTAGTTTCTGTTGAATACCTTGTATAGTCAGTGATGTATCAATGTCTCCTGTCTGGATGATGAGATTTTTTTTGTTTTTGTTATTAAATATTTTATTTATATATTCATTAGAGACACACAGAGAGAGGCAGAGACATGGGCAGAGGGAGAAGCAGGCTTCCTTGCGGGGAGGCTGATGTGGGACTCTATCTAGGACCCCGGGTTCATGCCCTGAGCCAAAGGCAGACGCTCAACCATTGAGCTACCCAGGCATTCCTGGATAATGAGATTTTGAATGCTCAGTGGTCCTATATCAGATGTGGGAATTGCCTGACTCAGTTTTCCTGGTGATTGTTATTTCCTAGAAAGTTCTTTGCCTAGCTACACAGTTTCACCTGTCTATGTGCAGATTAAAATTATAAAAAAATTATATTACCTCCCTCTTTTTTCAGTGGGTATAGAGCTAAATTGTAACCCAGCTTATCAGGCTTCATCTTGTGAGGTTTTTTTAAATACCTTTTCAAATGCATGTCCTATCACTCTTCCCTGTGGTCTCTGAACTCCAACTATACTAGTCTTCTCTCTGTTGTTGGAGCATGTCATTTTCCCTCCCTCAACACACTTCCTTTGGGGCCTTTGCACTTAACATTCCTTCAACATGAAAAGCCACCTTCTACAACAAACACTGTTTATCTACATACAATTCAGATCTCAGGTCATGTGTCATTTTTACTCAGGGAAATCTTTCCTGACTTCTCTGACCCTCTTAGTCTAGATCACTTTACTTTGTTATATGTTTTTTTTCTCTAGAAATATTTGCTTAATATGTATTTATATAGTTATTTGTGTTATTATTTGATTGATGTATGGCTCTCCCATAGTCTGGAAGTGTCGTGAGAACACAGACTATTTTGCTTGTCATGGGATAGACATCTAGGCACATTGACTGAATATACTAAAAAAATATGGAATGGATGGATAGTGGATGGGTAGACGGATGAGTAGAAAGTTGTTTGAAGAATGAGTGAGAAACTGAGGAAGGAAGGGAAGGAAAATTGTGGCCAAATAACTTATTCTAGGAGCAATTTTTTTGTGCTTTGTACTTCTAAAAGCAGAAAAATTTCTTTATTTGTCTCTCAGTTCTGTCAGCTTCACATAATACCAAAAACTTCTCTGTAGGTGGCAGTGCACTTACATAAGATATTTCTCTGAAACAAAAAAAAGGGGGTGGCATTATCTTGAACTTTTAAAAGCATTTATATAACTTGAGTCTCATCTTGCAGTTTTTAAAACATGCTCTTATTTCTTATAAATGTGGATTTATCCTGAATTTATACTTGCTTAGAGTCTTTTCCCCTCAGACTTACTAGTAAGTGCTAGAGAACTATCAGTCCTCATTTTATGATACGGTTATGTAAATCAGCATGCCACTTAAGAATTGGAAAATGGGTATTGTGAGTGAAACAGTGGTAGCTATTGTTTTGCCTTTACAAGAATAATATTTATCTTCTAGAATAATTGAAACTGGCAAAAATAGAAGTATAGACCAAACATATATGTATCTTAACTAGCTTTGGGTTTGATACTTTTAAGTCGGAAAAGTTGTTTTCTAAACACATTAAAAATAATAACCAGTTGATCACCTTACTCGTGGATTTTATGTATAGCCATTTAAAGGCTGAATCTATATTCCCCAGGGTGTTTTGTACATATTTTTACCACTTTTATTGTAAAAATTCTTTATAGTCTAAGTATACTGTCAAAAGATTTTTCCCACTTTGTTGTCCATGTTGTAGTTTTTTCAAATTAAAAAACATGTGTATATATAATAATAATTTTGTCCTTGCAGCACTTAAATGCAGAAAGGTCTTACAAGTCCCAGATTTCTACCTTACACAAGTCAGTTGTAAAGATGGAAGAAGAACTTCAGAAGGTTCAGTTTGAAAAAGTGTCTGCCCTTGCAGATTTATCTTCCACAAGGGAACTTTGTATTAAACTTGACTCAAGCAAAGAACTTCTTAATCGACAGCTGATTGCCAAAGATCAAGAAATAGAAATGGTATGTGATCATTTTTAAATGGTTATTTTAATATTATTGTTACTATAAAATTACTACAATTTTAGAACAAATTCTTTTTTATAAGATATTACGTCAAGCCATATCTATCACCTTTAGATTTCTAAAGTCCAAGAGATATTAAAAAAACTAAAGTCCAAGAGATAAATTTATGACACCTGTATCCCAACAATTCAAGAAGGTAACAAAAACTTTCCTTTTGAGTATGTAATTTGCATTTACTTTTAGCCAGAAGAATTATAAAACACATAGCAATCAGCAAAGAACCATGAAGTTGGGGTTTACTCAGCTAAATTATAACTTTAATGATATTCTTTTAAGCTATATTTATTTAATGGTTGGGTTCTTTTAAGCTGTAATTCATTTGATTGTACCTGCTGACATTGCACTTGCCACCATGAAATGAGTTTCAAAACATGAATGGACCTAGAGGATATTATGCTAAGTGAAATACATCAGAGAAAGACAAATACCACATGATTTCACTTATATGTAGAATCTATAAAACAAATGAATAATACAGCCCATAAGTATAGAGAACAAAATGATGTTTACACAGGTGGGCAAAATGGGTGAAGGAGAGTGGGAGATACAGGTTTCCAGTTATGGAATGAATAAGTCATTACTCATACTATTAAAGGTATAGTGTAGGGAACATAGCTAATGTTATTGTAATAGCATTGCATGATGACAGATGGTAACTACACTTGTGGTAAGCATAGCCTAACATACGGATTTGTTGAACCATTATGTTGTACACCTGAAACTAATGGAACATCATGCACCATTTATACTCAAAAAAAGAAGAAGGAGGAGGAGGAGGAGGAGGAGGAGGAGGAGGAGGAAAGAAGAAGAAGGAGGAGGGGGGGGAGAAGAAGAAGAAGGAGAAGAAGGAGGAGGAGGAGGAGGAGGAGGAGGAGGAGAAGAAGAAGAAGAAGAAGAAGAAGAAGAAGAAGAAGAAGAAGAAGAAGAAGAAGAAAGAAGAAAGAAGAAAAGAAGAAAAGAAGAAGAAAAGAAGAAAAGAAGAAAAGAAAGAAGAAAAAACATAGGAAGAGAAGAAAGAGAGAGATAGGTCCTTGCCCTTAAGGACCTCATTGTATTGAGATGAGTGTTATACTAATAAAAAATAGTCAAGGCTTTAGAGAGGGAATTCCTAATTGGCCTGTGGGTGTCAGGGAGGGGTCCACAATGATATGGTACTGAGCTCAAAAGGGAGAAGGCATCCTATTCAGAGAGAACAAGTAGACAATGATATGGAATTATAAATGAATTCTCGAGTGAATAGTAAGTGATTTGCAATGGCCGTTGTAGCATGCACAAGTGAAAGTGGCTGGAGATATTTGGAGAGATAATTGGAGCCTGGATCCTAAAGGGATGTGTGTGTGTGTGTGTGTGTGTGTGTGTACACACACACACACACACACAGTATAATTGAATTTACCCAAAGAATACACAAATATTAATTCAAAGGGATATATAACACCCCCATGTTTGTAGCAGAATTACCTACAGTAGCCAAATTATGAAAACATCTCAAGTGTCTATTGATGGATGAATGGAAGAAGATGTAGAATAAATATGCAATGGAATATTACTCAGCCATTAAAAAGGAATGAAATCTTGCCATTGCAATGACATGGATGGAGCTAGAGAGTGTTATACTAAATGAAATAAATTAGAAAAAGACAAATACAATATGATTTCACTCATATGTGAAATTTAAGAAACAAAACAGTTGAGAAAAAGGAGAAAAAAAAGAGAGAGAAAGGCAAACTAAGAAACAGACTTGTATAGAAAACAAACTGATGGCTACCCAAAGGAAGGTGGGTAGGGGGATGGATTAAATAAGTAATGGGGATTAAGGAGTGCATTTATTGTGATGAGCACCAGGTGTTATATGGAAATGTTGAATCACTATATCACACACTGGAAACTAATATTACACTATATGTTAACTAACTGGAATTTAAATAAAAACTGTTTAAAAAATCAATAAATTTTGGTCATCTCTACAGTTACAGTTTTTTTTATTTTGTTTGTTGTTTTTTAGGAAGATATGATGCATTTGAGAATCATGTGTCTATTGGTTTCTGTAAGAATCCACTGTTAATACTTTATTAATGAAGTGTTATATGCAAGAATTTTCTGACTCTTCCTTAAAATTATTTTATTTCAGCAGGAACTTTTTAATGATGGAAGTAACCCATGAATAGATCCTCACTGTAGAAATTTTTCTTTAAAGACCTTAATTTTTTCCTTTATTTTTAAATAAGACTTTATTTGAGAGAGAGAATGAGTAGGGAGGAGGGGCAGAGGGAGAAAGAGAGAGAAGCAGACTCCCCACTGAGCAGGGATCATGATGCAGGGCTCCATCTCAGGACCCAGAGACCATGACCTGAGCTGAAGGCAGATACTTAACTGACTGAGCCACCCAGTCAACCCCTTCAATTTTTCTTTAAAAATGTTTTTTATGGGATGAGCACATGCACTTGATGGGATGAGCACTGGGTGTTATTCTATATGTTGGCAAATTGAACACCAATAAAAAATAAATTTATAAAAATATTTTTATGTTTTTTCAAATTGGAAAAGTAATAAAATTGGAAAAGTAATAAATGTCATTGTAAATGAAATATTATTAAAAGGAAATGCTAGAAAATATTATCCCAAAGCTTATTAACATAATAATACACCATGATCAAGTTGGGTATATTCCAGTAAATTTTTTTAAGCTTTAAAATCATTACCCTTAAAAGTACAATATAAAAAGTTAAAAGTGATTTATATTAATTTTTAAACATTTTAAGGATGTTTACTTCAAGTTTTGTAGCTTCTTCACTATTCTCATAGTATTTTTTCTATTTTTTCTTTTATGTTAAAATACACATAATATAACCTTTTCTATCTTAACCACTTCTAAGTGTATGGTTCAGTAGTAATAAATACATTCACATTGCTGTGCAGCCATCACCACCACCCGTGCCCATAACTCTTCATCTTGTAAATCTGAAACTTTATACCTATTAACAGTAACTCCTTATTATCCCCTTTCTCCAGCCCCATGGCACCCATCATTATACTTTCTCTCTTTATGATTTTTACTACTGTAAGTACCTCATGTAAGTGGATTCATATAGTATTTGTCTTTTTGTGGCTGGCTTATTTCACTTAGCATAATGCCTGCAAGGTTCATGGGTGTTGTAGCATATTAGAGAATTTCTATCATTTTTAAGGCTAAATAATATTCCATCATATGAATATACTGCATTTTGCTTATCCATCATTCATTAGATGTTTGGGTTGCTTCCATATTTTAGTTATTGTGAATAATGTTGCTATGAATGTAAGTGTACACCTATCTCTTCAAGACTTTTCTTTCAATTCTTTTGGATTTATACCCAGAAGCTGAATTTCTGGATCATGTGACAATTCTACTTTTGATTTTTTGAGGGAATTTTGTACTGTTTTCTACAATGACTGTACTATTTTTCATTCCCAGCAACAATGCACACAGGTTCCAGTTTCTCTACACCCTTGTCAGAGGGTTGATGTGTTTCAGCTTTGTTTTTTTCTCTTCTTGATAATAGTGATTCTAGTGATAGTGAAGTGGTCCAGGCTAAGTATAAATGTATTTTAAAATACTCCTGACATATTTTTTTGTCTCTCTCTCTCTCTCTCTCTATATATATATATATATATATATATATTTTAATTAATTTATGTTTATCCCCATAATAAACTGCAATTTCAAGTGCAAGGGCTGTCTTATTTACATTTGTATTTCTTCAGCTATACTGTGCATATAGGGTACACTCAAATAATTTTGTCTAAATTAAATTTTGATTTTGAGATAATTGTAGATTCACATGCAATTGTAAGAAATAATACAAAGTATCATTTACCTGTGTTCCCCCAGTGGTAACCTCCTGCAAGACTATTGTTTAATATCACAGCCAGGATGTTGACATTTAATCAGGCAAGGTATGAAACATTTCCATCACAGGATCCATCATGTTGCCCTTCTATAGCCCTGTTTACTTCCCTCCTATCTCCACCTGCTGTTTAACCCATAGCAACCACTAATCTAGTCTCCATTTCTGTAATATTATTACTTCAAAAAATTATATAAATGGAATCATATGGTATGTAACTTCTGGAGATTGGATTTTTTGACTCAGCATAATTCTCTGGAGAGTCATCTATATTGTTGCACATATTAATAGTTCATTCCTTTTCATTGTTAAGCAGTATTCTATGCTTTGGGTGTAACGCAGTTTGTTTAACCATTCATGGATTGAAGAACACCTAGGTTATTTCCAGTTTTAAGATCTTAAATATAAAACTATTGTAAATTATATGTTTTTGTGTGAAACTAAGTCTTCGTTTCTATAAATGCCCAGGAATGCAGCTTTTGGATCAAATGGTAGTTGCATAATTATTTTTTAAGAGAGTGCCAAACTATTTTCCCAAGAGTCAATACCATAGTGCATTCCCACCAACAATGTGTGAGTGATCAGTTTTTCCACCTCTTTGTCCACACTTAGTGGTGTCACTATTTTTTATTTTAACCATTCTGATATGTGTATAATGTGATATCAGTTTCTAGTTGCATTTCCCTAAATTAATGAAATAGAACATATTTTTATATGATTATTTGCCATATATATTTCTTTGGTGAAACATGTCCTTGTATCTTTTGCCCATGTTCTCATTGAATTGTTTTCTTTTTTAATCTTGAGTATTATGCATTCTTTATGTATCTTAGATACTGGTCCTTTATCAGATATGTGGTTTGCAGGTATTTTCTCCCATTATGTAATTTGTGTTTTCATCTTCTTATCAGGATCTTTCTCAGAGCAAAAGTTTAAGATTAGATGATTTGCAGTTTCTCAGTTTCTCTTATGGCTTGTGTTTTTGGCTTTAAGTCTAAAAATTCTTTGCATAACTCTCAGTCCCAAAGATTTTTCTTTAATATTTTTAGA